GAGTGTCTACCCCGAGGACCCACCTCGGGGCTTTGCAGGTACATCCGAAGTGAAGATGCGGACTGAAGAAGGACTTCTGGTTTGGTGCAATTACATTGGCGCCGTCTGTGGGAAATCGAATAAAAAGCTTTATTTGTATGTTGATCCGGTTGATCGAAGGGAAGAGAAGATGAGTGAAAGGCTCATGGCTGATTCTTTTGAGTCGCAAAAGTAGATCTGATGAATTTGCCTATTCTTTTGAGTCGCATAAGTAGATCTGATGAATTTGCCTGTGCTTTTGAGTTGCATAAGTAGATCTGATGAATTTGCCTGTGCTTTTGAGTTGCAGAAGTAGATCTGATGAATTTACAGAGTGAGTTTGTTCGCCTGTGAAAAAAAAGAAGTTTTCACAAAATAGATCTGATAAATTTACAAAATGGGTTTATTCGCTTGTAAAGAAGAGAAGCTTTCACAAGAAGATAAACAGGTACGTAGCTGGCTAGAAAGTAAGTACTCTCGGGCAATTCGGGAAGAAACCTTAGCAATGTTGTCACTTAAGTAAGAATCCAATCAGCTGCTAGGAAACAAGAGCCTATGGTTCCACTAACAGAAGAAGACTAAGCAGCTATGGCCGAGCAGACTACGGCTGGCCTCCATTACACAAGCTCGACAATGAGGAGCTGCAAGCATCTTGCTTGAGCACGAGCTGCGAAATGCTGAAGCACGAGCTCCAAAGGCCGAGAACGAAGTGCGAGATGCTGGAGCACGAACTGCAAGGGCCGAGAACGAAGTGCAGAACTCAACCAGGAGCTGCAGAGCTCAAATGCAGAAGTCCGAGGTGCGGGATGCTGAAGCACGAACTGCAAAGGCCGAGAGCGAAGTGCAGAACTCAACCATGAGCTGCAGAGCTCAAATGCAGAAGTCCGAGGTGCGGGATGCTGAAGCACGAGCTCCAAAGGCCGAGAACGAAGTGCGAGATGCTGAAGCACGAGCTGCAAAGGCCGAGAGCGAAGTGCAGAATTCAACCACAAGCTGCAGAGCTCAAATGCAGAAGTCCGAGGTGCGGGATGCTGAAGCACGAGATCCAAAGGCCGAGAACGAAGTGCAGAACTTGAGCATGAGCTGCAGAGCTCACACTTGCTGCCGAGGTCGAGCACAGTGTAGAAATCAAACACGAGCTGCAGAGCTCAAACACTCACTGCCGAGGTCAGCCACGAGATGCAGAGGCCGAGCATGAAGTGCAGAACTTGAACACAAGGTGCAGAGGTCGAGCATGAGCTTCAGATGTGCAGCACGAGCTGCAAGGTGTCAACACCCTCAACAAGGTGCCGACACTTTTCCTGCATCTGTCCTGAAGAGTCCGTGTCGGGTTTTTGTCCTTCTCTGCAAATTCTGGTAACGTCCTCGTGATACAGGTTGTTAAGAAAGCAATCGAGCTCCGCAGCAAATTACAGCTTTGGCCCAAGCTTGGTCCAATCTTATATTGAAATTTATTATTAATTGCTTTCCACATTCTTTGCATTCATTCCACATTTTTCCATTCATTCTGCACTTGTTTTTGCATTCATGATATCATTTTGCCA